GCAAATGTATGTAACAAGTGTATCAAGGACACATTAAAATAAAGTGTTACCAAATATTTTAATGAAAATTTTAATTTATCGTTTACTTTTAATTTGGACTAAGCATCCAAAGGCACCCAATAAGAAAAACATGGTCATGAAATTTTGCATATAACATCTCTCCACCGAATTTCATGAATCAAAACCAATGCATCAGGATGCAATGTGAAGTATCATTTCACACCCTTTCAATGCACAAACATGTAGTTCACAGCAGGTAAGAGAGGAACACCTGCTGGACAGGCACCTATGAATGAACATTAGATGTGTAGAGCAGGGCAGGGAGGAGCCCTACATAGATTAAACCTGTTCTGCAGACAACACAGCACAAATCTGCCACAACGCACACACCCGTTGAGCCTTTCAGAGGGCCATTGTATTAAGGAACCTCTATTAAAACAACTCCTTGAAACTCAGGCACATACTTGAGCTGGAAAAACCACTTTCTGGTTCAAAGCAATTAAGCACAGCTATTATAGGCAATAGGTAAAATATGTTATTCGAGTTCCTCGTTTCGCTTACTTCTACGGTTAGAGTTCAATACTTTGTTTCCTGTTAGTGGTGTCCGCTGATTTACTTTATGTTGCACCAAATGGTCTGACAAAATCTGTTATGAAAGAGCTGTATTGGGTGCCGATAAAACAGAGGAAGGCTTGAAACCTTGACCTAAAATCAAATAACAACATACAGCTAGTATTTTACCCATTCGAAACTCCAGCTGCATAATAAACATTTCCTTCTCTTTCTTCACAGTCGTCATACGAGTCACGGCTGATAAAGGAGGACAATGCCGACAGAGCTGCGATAATAAGCCTGGACATTTAATATGTGCAGCTGGGTGGGAGACGTCAGATTAGCTGAAAGAGCCTACTATGTAACCAGTCACAAGATCTTCCACAACGGTCAAAGCCAAGGAGCGTTTCTCCCTCCCAAACCCTTCAGGGAAAACGTAAAGACTTCACATTTCTCAAAGCTTCGCCAGGAACCTCCTAAACCACAGAAGTATGTGTGTGTGATACACTTGTTAATGATTAAACTACAGCTAATGCCATTTCTGTGCTTTGTGAATGTGGAGAGGGCATTCTGGGTTAATCCAGTTAGAGATCAACATCTCCGAAATGAGGAATTTACTGTGACGAGTGGGTGCTCGACTGTCACACAATAGGACAGAAACAGTGAGGATTAGGGACTGCATACTGACTAAACACGGTGGAAGCTTCACGTTGATGTTTTCGGAGGGTGTGATGGGGAATTCCTCGAATGCTGACGGCTTCGGCCTACAGTTTTATCAGCAGCAGTACAGGAGCTTCAGTTCCCAGACTGTTTAGCAACACGTTTTCCCATGTAAACCAACTCCTGGAAAAAGCTGAAGGCACTTTGTGAGCCACCCAGGTGCTCATATAAAAAAATGAATTGGCAGAACACTTGATCCGAAGTCATTTGCTGCTTATCGGTTTGTCTGAGAGGTAATTTCCCACACTTACTCCTGCTTTGTGCCCTGCGTTAAACTCTCAAATGTTTTTATTTTCGGACTTGCTATAAAGGTGCTTTTTTGAACTATACATATCCAAGCTTTAAAGTGAACATAAGCCATTCAGGTGAGGACCCTAAACCTCCATCTGTTAAGCTTAAAGAACTGTGCCAGGCCACACATATGAAGCTGAAGTTTTTGCATAAACTATCTTCTACAGACAGCCTCAGCCCAACACACTCAAATACTTGACATCGGCTCACACCCAATTGCAAAGGGTCACGGCCTGAGAAGCATTAACATGAGTCATGGTACAGTATTAATCCCAAATCCTGCACTATGACCATGTACATGGAGCTAAAGATGTGGACATTATCCATGCTGAAAAGCAGTCTTTAAGAAAAACAGGAAAGACATCTGATGTTATACTGAGAGAGTATCACAAGCAGGAACGAGTGCAGCAGAGCGTCCAGAGTGGGTCTGGGGGAGAAGGAGCTGTAAGCAGCTTAAAGCCCATCTCGTAGCACATGGCGGAGCAGCGACACACGGAGTCACCATATGGCCTTCTCAAAAGCACAGGCTCAGGCCTGCTGAGACCTTCCGTCTAAGCGTTATAGTAAATGTGTAACAGAGCACCACTCGGACGAAAAGGGCACTACTACAAAACCTGGAACAAGTTAATGAGAAAAAAAATGCAAATATATATAGGCAAATATTAACTAAAAACTTTACATGAACATTAAATGATGGCAAAAATACTTACAAAAAATACATTAATACACACTCACACTCAAAAGTTTGAGAACTAAGATATTTTAATATTTTTGAAAGTCTTTTATGCTCACCAAGGCTGCATTTATTTGATCAAAAATACAATAAAAACACTAATATTGTTAAATATTACAATGTAAAATAAAATTTATATTTAATTTTTTTAAATTATTTTTTTACAAATATTTTATTTAAAAGCTTAATTTCAGCAGCCATTACTCCAGTCTTCAGTGTCACATGATTCTTTAGAAATTATTCTATTATGATGATTTGCTGCTCAATAAACCTTTCTTACATCAAAGTTGAATTTTTTTTTTCATGAAAATGACAATTTTTCAGGATTCTTTGATGAATAGAAAGCATTTATTTTAAAAAGATTATTCTTTTTTTAGTATTCTTTGACAACAATGTAAATGTTATTATCACTATTACGCTAAGTCTTTTATGCTCACCAAGGCTGCATTTATTTGATCAAAAATACAATAAAAACACTAATATTGTTAAATATTACAATGTAAAATAAAATTTATATTTAATTTTTTTAAATTATTTTTTTTACAAATATTTTATTTAAAAGCTTAATTTCAGCAGCCATTACTCCAGTCTTCAGTGTCACATGATTCTTTAGAAATTATTCTATTATGATGATTTGCTGCTCAATAAACCTTTCTTACATCAAAGTTGAATTTTTTTTTTCATGAAAATGACAATTTTTCAGGATTCTTTGATGAATAGAAAGCATTTATTTTAAAAAGATTATTCTTTTTTTAGTATTCTTTGACAACAATGTAAATGTTATTATCACTATTACGCTATTTAATGCATCCTTGCTGAACAGAAGTATTCATTTTTCTTTCTATTAATATCTACTTTTAACTAGTGCCAATCAAGTGTTCAAAAGTGTTAATTTAAATGTATCAATTGTGTGTGCAGCCAACCTACTATTAAATTATACTAAAACATCAGCGTTAGGTATATATCGGACATCATCAACATTCTCCCTAAATCTGAGATGTATCAGTCGACCACTTCTGATCTCCAGACCTTTTTTCAGACAAGAGCTGCCTGAGTTTTCATTTCTCTTTCACTCTCTCTCTGCCACAGGGCTGAGGGGAAGCCATATGCCAACTGTCTGCACACAGTATACACACACATACACAGACCCCCAAGCTCAGGGCCCGACCTGTCCGCTCGGATCAGCTATTCCACATCACGGTCAGAGGATCCTGTGCCGTTCTGTCTGACCCTGTTAGCAATGCTGACTGTAGACTGGCTAACACAGATTGAGTCTTCTGCCAATGAGGCTATGCCAACAGTCCTGGCATTATACGGCCTTCAGAAGAGCACTTCAAATGACTGGGCGGTAGTTGCCAACGGTTTACAGTAGTTTAAATGTTGAATCAAGCATGTTTGCTTATTTTGCTATCAGTGTACTTTAGGGAATGCTAGCTCTGGCAACCCACCAACAGTCTCTCGTGACTCCTATGTGTGGATGTAAATGCTCAAGGTAATAATAAACAAAACAACTTGTGTGTTTACTGTGTGTAAAGACTACTAGACCTGATTCACAGCCAAGTCAGCAGGATCTCTCTCTCTCACACACTCACACAGGATCTCTCTCTCTCACACACTCACACACACATTAACAAAACCGAGGAAATCCAAATTAAAAGGACAAAGCAAACAGCTTTTAGCGTGGTTAGTGAGACAGATGTGTAACACACTAAAGTGCCCCCAAAGGAGGATAGACTGTCAATGTTAGACAGCAGTCTTTTAAGGTAGACCATATGCTTGCAACAAAATCTGCAAACAAGGCATCAAATACATGCTATAGACAACGCTTATTTTAACATTAGTACAGAATAATTCACACAACTTTTTACTAATGAATTACTTTTCCAAATGCTCAGATTACTGGATGAGAACTTTTTATTTATTTATTTTAACAAACACTGTAGGCAAAACCATAATTTTTTCATACTCTGGTCAATTTTGAGCTATTTTGCATCCATAACATGTCTTCTATCAGACTAGTGAAATGAAAACATGCAAAACACACATTAAATATTTATTTTAATGCACTTTATATAGTTGCACCTATAGATTTCAATTACAATACATATTTTCTCTGTTTTCTCAAAATGAGCTTTTTTTTCAGTTGCACTTTACAGTAGCAGATACACATAACTTTCCCGTTGTTTTTTTTTTTTCTAAATATTTTTTACAGAGCGCTTTGTTCATACGCCATTTCTATAACATTTTATTCCTAAAATGAGAATGCTTTTTCTGGCTGCAGACAAGTGCTCCCCTCTGCAATACCTTTAAATCTAACCTAACAAAAAAAAAAGTGAAACAAGAACTTTGAATATGGCGTTGCAAATGATTGAATATTTGATTAGATAATGCCTCCTTTGCATATCTGAACACAACATTTCAGAAAACTTGTAATGCAAAACAATTGTTTTAATGCACCATAATTAATCATCAGGGGAAGTATGGTGAAATAGTTTAGTTTAACATGTAAGCTAAGGTGACTTCTTAAATTTCCCTGATATTTCAAGGTTTCTATGACCGTGGGAAACTTTGAAACAAGAGCAACGGTTTAACCACATTCATGTGTCAAAACCTCACAACAGGTCTATGCATAATTTACAACTGAGGCTGGCAAGCAGAGACAGACATGCACATGAGAGTAAGTGATGGGACACGGCAGTCTTACCTTGGGCAGCTCTCTCAGCTGGTTGGCGTCCAGGAGCAGCTCCTCCAGACTGCGGTTGTAGCGGTAGATCTCATCGGGCACCGCAGTGAGCGAGCAGTGCCGCTTATCCACGGACTCAACGTGACGGTTACACCGCCACAGCGGGATACACTTCAGCATGTCCCGGAGCACTCAGCCCCTCTGCATCGGGGACTCACTCAAGCAGCCAAACGATGGGATACAGACTGGTACTGCCGCCTCGCAACTCCCTGGACTTTATCCACCAAAACCAGTCAAATAAAAGCCCCTGCGCGAACGGTTCTCCTGCAAATGTCCACTAACTCCAGTGATGGCAGAGGACATCCAGAGGATCATACACAAGCCGAGTTACTCAGCACATTCACAGTTTGGTTCAACATAAGCCGAATGAAGTCAACAAAACACACATTTTATGTGCTGTATTCAGTTTTGCAGCATAAACAGCCCCTCGCTGAATTAAACGAGATTATGTCGCACGGAATAAGTGACCCCGCGTTAACATACAGAGGTGTTCAAATACGCCAAACTCGTTGGTTCATGTCACGCGCCCTTTTATAAAACATGTTTTGTCTTGTAATAATAAAAGGAGGTCTAATAATCAAACTAAGTTACATCGTGCTCGTGAGGCTGCTGTAACGTTACACACAACGCTATGCTACAGCTAACTGATTAGCCAGCTGCAGAGCGCTATAGTCCGCCAACCGCTACAAAACACACCAGCCAGCCTCCAAACAAAGACAAAACAACTCGGAACTACTTACAGACGTGTGTGTCGCTGAGATACGAGGGATTTGCGATATGAGATATCCCATACACAGTAGCAACAGGCTAGGAGCAGCAGGCCGGTTCTGTGTGTGTGAGTGTATGTATGTATGTATGTATGTGGGGGGCTGGGCTGATCTCCGCCGCTCCAGAGACACTCCACCGGCTTTGTGCTCCTCTGCTGCCCGTCCTGATATCGAGTCCGGACTAATCCGTCACAAACCTCTCTGTCCTCCTCATATAGGTGGTTGACCTCAGGACGCCGGCGACGCTCCGCCTGGGCTTTATCTGCCGCGGGATTTCCTGCTCTTGTAGGCGAGTGTGTGGAGGTTCGGAGTTAAGGCTTCAGGAGCTGATCCATTCCCAGCTCCGCCTCACTGTTGTGAGTCTCTCTGTCTGAGCGCCCTCTCGCACGCAACTCCGCGGCGCACGGCATCGCTCTCACTCCTCCGGATGGCGACCTCTAGGAGTCTGGAGGAGGAGAGGAGCACTGGAGTCTAGCTAGTGCACTTGCGCCGCCCTGCGGAAAGAACCGTGTACAGTCGGAACAATTCTTTTTATTACCACGCAAAACCGAGTCACTACAAACACCGGTTTTTTTCATGTGATATTTCGTTTATTTATCTACTAAAAAGACAAGTAGCCTGTCGGGTACAGCTGAATCACGTATCTTTAATGTTCTAAAGTAAGCATGTTTAAATGCCTTAAAAGACAACATTCAACAAAACTAATTTTATCTGTGTGTGTGTGTACCTGTTTTACTATTCTGGTGGGGACTTAAACCTGAATACACACAGACTCGTGGGGACTCGTGTCACGGTGGGGACCTAAATTGAGGTCCCCACGGGTAAACAAGCTAATAAATCACACAGAATGAAGTTTTTTGAAAATCTAAAAATGCACAAAGTTTCCTGTGAGGGGTAGGTTTAGGGGTAGGGTTGGTGTAGGGCAATAGAAAATACGGTCTGTACAGTAGAAAAACCATTACGCCTATGGAGAGTCCCCACAAGGATAGCTGACCAGACATGTGTGTGTGTGTGTGGTTCTCAAACTTTTGACTTGAACATGTGGCCCTCTAATTGTCCAACACAGTATTCAAAGGCCCCACATGTTGGCTTAAGTATTTTTAGCTACTTTTTAACAGAAACTGCTGTATATATTGACAATAATTAAAACAGAATCATTTTGTGATTGCAAAACATTCAAGATTCTGATTTGGTATTCTTGATTGTTATATACGAATTAACCATCAGATATTTAAACAAACTGTTGTCTTGAAGAAGCCTGACCAGAAAGTTTGAAGTAGATTTAATAGCTTTAAAAGTTTAAGTAGTTTTAAAAGCTATAGCTTTAACAGCTATATAGATAGATAGATTTTTTTTGTTTTTTTTTTAATCTAAAGCTCAAAGTCGAAAGCTTTAGGATTAATTGATTGCTGTGGTTGCTAGTGTTTCATTGTTAAAAGCTCCTGTTGCTAACAATTTAGATCCTTTACAGTTTGTCTATAAACAAGGGAGAGGAACTGAGGATGCTGTTAACAGCATCATGCACTTGATTTTGAAAGGTTTGGGGGATCATAGAGCTTATGCTGGTTTACTTTTCATCTATATTAGTTCTGCTCTTAATACTATTCAACCTCATGTGTTGATTAAAAAGCTGGAGCAGTTGAATGTAAGCCCATTTATTATTGGTATTTTTCTTATTTTTAAAGGACAAACCTCAGTGTGTGAAGGTAAATAATTGTCTCTCTGGTTGGTAGGGTTTTGCAAGAGTTGTGTCTATAGGTCATTGTTACTAGCTATTCAGGATGGTTGCTATGTGGTTGTTAGGATAGATAGATAGATAGATAGATTTTACATCATTTTCTTACTTAAAGGAAAAGGAAAGGAAAGGAAAGGAAAGGAAAGGAAATTACATGACGTGTGGCCAAGTATGGTGTCCCATACTTGGAATTTGTGCTCTGCATTTAACCCATCCAAGTGCACACACACAGCAGTGAGTAGTGAACAAACATGCGCACACACACACTGTGAACACACACCCGGAGAAGTGGGCAGCCAATGCTGTATAGGGTTAAATCTCTGCCACAATTCTGCACGTGAAAGTTCATATTTTGAGCGCAAAAAAGTGCATTTTGCACGCGCGCGATCTGAGTTTTGTGGAGAAAATTTTTGTTTCGCAAAGAAAAAAGTATTTTGAGCGCACTAAAATCAATTTTGTATTTAAAATAAGTTTTTGGATGTGTGCAGACCTTCTCTTTTGCGCGTGCAAGGTTTCATTAGCTTGCTCCCTTGATGCCCGCCCTCAGTGCTCTCTAAATGCCAACGGCTCGCTTGCTCAACACAACCCAGTTTTACAATATGCCATAATTCCAGCCAATCAGAGACGAGGCTGCTAAATTCTGATTGGCTGCCTTGACAACCAATCACAACATTCCTTGCATTGCTGATTACAGAGGAAGAGGGAAAATACAGTGCATGCATAATTATTATGCAAGTTGATATTCTAATTATATTTCTTCCAAGCACATTTTACCAATTCTAAACAACATCAATCTTAATAACTACTATTAATCTTGTATTTAATCACTTATCATCTATGTATTATTGTTAATGAAGGCTGGAATTATATTGCTTATATTGGAATTATATTATATTATGTAATTATATTATATTATACTGGAATCATATATGGCTTATATTCAGGTGTGCATAATTATTAAGCAGGTTATCTTCTACAGATAAAATCTCGAGATGGACTAAAAATTAACTCCCTAAACTTACTGCCAGATTCTGGAAGATAAATTCTTCAAACAGTGGTACAAGAGGAAATGCTTTGGCTATCAATTAAGATGTTTTTATGGCCCCCAGAATGTGTCTCACCCATGCTAACCAGCCATTATGAATTTCTATGATTTTCCAATGACTTTTAAGTGTTTTGTGATGGATAAGGAATAACACAAAGATTTAACAGTCACAAAGAGCAATTTATAGCCTATTAATATTAATGTTCATTATCGAGATTTCCATTCTTTTTTTATTACTTTTACAGACCTGCAAATGACCATTTTCAAATTGCTTACAATGAGACAAACTTACTTGATAATCTAAATAGAGTGCTGCACGAGTGATGTATCTTTGTAAGCCAAAACCCAGAAATAAGTTAGCATTTTAGCGCTTCCGGTTCCATCATCCTGAGGTCAATGGGTTTTATTAATGGATTTTGGTTAAATGCCTGAAATATGGCATGTGGTTAACACAAGCTCAAGATATGTTCATGTTTTATTATACGACATAAAATACATCAGTAGTACTCCCTTGTGATTTTTTTAAAAAGCATTTACTTGAAAAAGCTGTTGCTAACAAGTAGCTAAATGCAGAGGCGGACAGTAACTGTGTACATTTACTTGAGTATTGTACTTAAGTACACTTTTTGAGTATCTGTACTTTACTTGAGTATTATTTTTTAACTTCACTACATTTGAAAGACAAATATTGTACTTTTCACTCCACTACATTTCTATCAAGGTCCTCGAAGTAGAAAGTCGTTACTATGCAGCAGCTTTGAAAGTCAGTGGGTGATTTTTTTCTTCTCTAAAACGTGACTTTCTTTTTTTCAGACAGTTTATCAGTAGTCACTCTTGGGGGGCTACATGAAGTGATTTACCAGCATTTTTTTAACACTGACCAGTTTCAAATGTGGTATTTATTTACAACAATTCAATAATAAGAAGTTAATATTGTGGTATACATTACACACAATATTGTCTGATTTTGCTAAATTGTGTAAGTGAAAATATTACCTATAAAGCCACAGAAGAACTGTTGTGCATCTCCTAATAAAACACAAAAACTTTTACTTGTAATGGAGTAATATTTGACCAGCGGTACTTTCACTCAAGTAATGGAGTTGAGTACTTTGTCCGCCTCTGCTTGTCTCTGATTGGCTGGAATTATGGCATATTGTAACGCTGGGTTGTGTTGAGCAAGCGAGCTGTCCGCATTTAGAGAGCACTGAGGGCAAGGTGTGCAAGCTAGTGAAACATTGCACGCGCAAAAGAGAAGGTCTGCACAAATCCAAAAACTTATTTTAAATGCAAAATTGATTTTCGTGCGCTCGAAATACTTTATTCTTTGCGAGACAAACATTTTCTCCACAAAACTCACTTTCGCGCGTAGAATTGTGAGAGATGTAATCCCATAATGTTGCGGCACCCGGGGGTTCGGTGTCTTGCTCAAGGGTCTCACCTCAGCCGTGGTATTGAGGGTCGAAAAAACGCTGGTTATTCACTCCCCCACCTAAAATCCCTTCCAGACCTGAGACTCGAACCCGAGACCTTCGGGTTACAAGTCTGACTCTCTATCCATTTGGCCACGATTTAAAGATGTCTTTAAGCCTTACTATTTGGACCAGTAATACACTTCTAACACACTCTATGTAATACTCCACTTTGAAAGAATTGTATGTAAATGAGTTATGACTAAGCAGCCTGCTACTTTGAACATACTAGAGCAGAGGAACTCTGAATTCTAAGGATCTAAACTTGCACTAACTGGGAGAAAACAGCCAGGAATGAGAAATAGCCCAACTAAACACAAAAGCATACAGATTTTATAATATGAATCAGCATTAGATGGGTAACATGCTAGCGACAAGCACTTAGCTTTTTTCAAACCTTGGTCAAAAGGTTCATACTCATAGTTTGATAGGCGATACTCTAAATACTACATGTATATTTAGCTTTAATTTATTTCATAATTATGGACACAAATAGGCAAATGTGATTTTTTTTTTGCAGTAAATGCTAAACTCCAAACATTACCTGGTACAAAATCGCTAGCAATTATCTCAAGTTTTATGTTCTACTGTGTGTATAATGGTGTGTGTGTGTGTTTCGTACATCAGGGAAGTGGCTTAGGCCTTAAGACCTCATCCAACCATGCATATTAAAGACTGGGACAACACGGCATATTAGAGAAATTTATTGTTTTGGTAAAGGCAGAACCAATGTCACCAACACAATGTTTAGGGCGTGAACACAATGTCAGTGGAGAAAAAGTTGCCATTTGTAAAAAAGTGGGGTGGGAATGGGGAAAATTGCATCTTTTCTTCAAAATTAGAAAACAAAACCCTGCAAATAATAATGACTGTTAAAAAATGCAAGTCTTTCACAGTAAGTGACAAAGTAAATGTACGAGGAGCATGTTTTTTGTCCTAAGCTAAATCCCACCATTGGGATTTTTCCAATAATATTATTACTATCAACATCAATAAAAAAATAATTACAAGTTTCAAAGAGGCCCGGATCTCAAGCAGCAGTGATGAAAGCTGAGCGAGTTTGAGTGACGGGGCCAGTAGCCATTTCGGGACAGTCTTATGCAGAGAGGTCACTGTTATTAAAACGATCTTG